CCCTTTTTTCAGTTGCTAGAACCTGTGTAACCTGGTCCAGAAATGTTCTCTTCTGCAGGTGATAAAATGTAACTCTAGTTGCATTCTGAATACAAACATATTTCACATAATTTTTTTTTAGTTTTCTTAATTGACAATCCCCACTGCCTACGTATGGCTAAAGTGCAGCGTGATCTAAAAACACAGTAAAAAGGTTTGAATTAGCTTTTAAAGAACTACAGTATGTTAAAAATGCTGTGTGTAATTATTGTAAAATACTTTGGAGGTACCCTGAACCATCATCAGATATTAACATCAAACATTACCTGAGTATTACCATCATCCCATTGGAATTTACAAGCAACATTGTGATGGAAACTGGGAAACTCACAGAGTGCATAAAAATTAAAGCATTAATTGAGAGGAATTTGGACAAAGTGATGCAATATGAAGGGGTGGTCTGGTTATTTTCAACTCTCACACTCTGTACCAAACACTTTCTTTTAACCCACAGAAAAGGGATACAGTCGTCAAATTGAGATTTATATATTTTTTTGCTTTTTACTCTCTCACTCCAATGATATCCCACAATAGTCTTTACATGTAGCACACCACATTTGGTAAACGTATATAAGAATAACAGGATATAAATAATCAATTTTTATTTATCTGCATCCCACTTCCATGGTTATTAGCTAGAATGTAGAAACACTATAATGTAGATAAAGGTCGAATGACATGTACACCACTGAACGTTTAAAATTCACGTGAAGAAAATGGGATCAAAACAAGATTAAATTGCACTGAATTGTTGCAACCAGTGTTTTATTAAGCTTTAATTAAACACAGATGAAACTGTGTTTTGTTGGTATCCTGTACATTGCTGTCTATTATCTACTCATTTAATGACCCGAAAAACCTGCCCTGCCAGTAGAATTAGAAACTTGTGAAAAATAAAAAAGAAGGGAAAGCATAAGGTGTATTTTCCCCATAGTGGCTGTTAGACCAGCATTATAAATTAGCTGGGCATTCTTCCAAGTTTAGTAAAGCCTTTTCACAAAAGCACATCAATATGTAGATACAGCCCCTCCCCCCCTCCATTTTCAGTTCAATAGAAGAAAACTATTGATCACACCCTCAGGTTGTTAATGAGTCCCTCCCATTTAATTTGTTTATTTTCATGTGTTCATTCGCTTAAATTGTACTCACCGATTGTGATTGTGTCTGGTGTTCAAGATTGAGGATAAGAGTTGGTAGGGTTCCCTGAGGAAAATGACCTTGAGGGGGGCTGAGACCCGTAGGTCTCCAGAGGAACTACATTGCTATGCAGGTGGATGGAGTAGAAGGAGCAGGAAAGAAATGAGATTCATGTTGTACTGTAGGTTTATCTTCGGTATCATATTTGGTACACTTTGCCAATAATGACAGAAAGTTAGCATCCTACTGACTCCTGAATGTGTAACCATGCCTAGTCATCTAACACAGATGGATGTCCTGTGAAAGAACAACAGACCATCGAGACTTTCATCCAGGCAGACATCTTTGTTCTCTTTATAAACATAAAACAAAATAAATTCAAACAGCATTGAAACTTTTGTGGACATTATACAGTAGGTAAATGCAAAGATCAGGATTTTCAGATCTCCAGTTTTAGCTGGAGCTTTTAAAAAGATGTTTTGTTAATGTGAATGCTTCAGGTTTTTGTTTTGTATCTAATGTCAGGCATTCTTAAATTATTAGTGATAAAACTTTAACGCAGCAAGATATTAACAAAAACATCCAGTGTAACTCTGCATGTCCCTTGATAGCATCTTATTTGAAAATCTAACAACTTTTATGAAAACAATAATGAAATAGATTTTACATAGGAGTGAAGACCCTTCAGCCCATCTATCTCAATTGATTGTTAATAGATAATTGATGCAAGAATTTTATCCATTTGTTTCTAGAAAGTATCAGCTTTGACAGCATGGGTGGGTAGCGATGTGCCCTCAGTGTGAAAATGTGCCTCCTGCTCTCAGATTTAAATGCATGTCCCCTGAGTTCCCACCTGTGCCCTCTGGTTTCTTTCCATGATAATTCAGAACAGGTCCATTATTTGTTGACCCCTCAGGTTTATGGATACTTGAATCAGGTCCCTTTCATATTCACAGCTAAAAGCATGCAGTTCTTGTAGCCTGGAACGGCTGTCAGAGTGGGACATTCCTTTAAGCTTGAAAATGTATCCAGTCACTCTTCTCTAGACTGATTCTAGAGCAACATTCTTTTTAAGTGCTTATTGCTCCTATGCATCTTCTAATTGCAATCTTCACACTGTATCTGGAAGATGTAAATGATGTGTCTGCAAAAAAAACTTTTTAGAAACTCTGTGTTATACATCTTGTTTTTTGCTGGTTTCTTCCACCAGCATGTAACGCTGTGCAAACGGAAAAAGATTACTGACTCTACCTGAATCTGGATCATTTATTTAACTAAGAGCAGAAGTTATTCTAATACAGATCCCTGTGGTACTCCGTTCATTAAAGTACATCACTCTAATTTGAGCATTCACCCCTTATATCTGCTCATGATTTCTATCACTTAACCAACTCTCAATCTAAAAGCAAGCATCGCCTTCAATGCTTACCACTTGCAGTCTGAGAGTTTAAATTTTTTAGCAGGCTTTCAAACCTCCTCTGAACTGAAACTTTATTGTAAATATACCATGTTCTTTGATCCATTACTTCAACTGCTTGTTCAAAGAACCATCAACAAATTAGTCCAGATGTGCCTTTTCTAAATTTATGTTGATGGTTACCTGGAATCCTATTGCCATACAGATGATCCTTTTAGTGTGGTTCTAATTATTGATACAGACAACCTAACATGTAATAGAATTAACAAAATAAATGGCAATAGTAGTGACACTTTTGTGGACATTACATGCAAAGATAATTAGCTATAATTACTGCTCTATGGATGGCTGCAACATTTTCAGTTTTCCAGTTGATGGATATTGCGTTGTCTTGGCTGTTGGAAGAGTTTTGTTAATGGTCAATGAATAGTTTGTTTCCTTTAACTTCATTTAGTAGAATACCATCAGGCCCTGGAGATTTGTTTATCGTAAATGCTTCTAATACCTATAAAACATCCTCCTCTTCTATACTAATAATATTTATTATAGTATTTTGTCTTTGACAGCCTGAGGCATATTGACATTTTTTTTCCTGGGCAAGCACCTGAATGAAATATTAATTTAGCATATGCATATTTAATATATTTCTGTTTAATTGTCTAAAGGTTTCCCATTATTATCTCTAAATCACTATATTTCATCCTTTATTATTCTTTTGTTGTTTTTATACTGAGTTCCTTTCTTTATTTTTTTTGTTATCCACTTGAGTCTTATCTCAAAAATACTGGGCTCTAAATACCCCAGACAGGGCTGTTAAATGAAAAATGGGCCCAACTCCTACTGCGATTTAGGATAGCCAATCGACCTGCTAGCATGTCTTTGGGAGACAGAAGAAAATTGTAGTTCTACATGTGGAGAAAACCCGCATGAACACAAAACAAATTTGCAAACACCTTATAGAGTGTCTCATCTTGAAAGTGGTCCTAGTCACTTCTCATATTTGCATTATCCAAGAATGTACAGTATATCAAAAAGACAGCAAATAATAATACACCCGGTCTTTTTGTTGGCTTCACAGATTCTTTTGATTGTGAATTATTTTGAATTCTTTACTTTTGATTGGACTATGTACTGTATGCTACTGTATATATTACATACTGTATACTCCACAGCCAGTGTTATTTTTCACATACTGTATTGTATGATGTAAAAAGTCACATATATGTAAGAATTCTGGAAGTTCAGGTACTCTACCTAAAGGCTGTTTTACCTGAAACATTATTTGCAAATGTTAAAGGATATCTTGATACTATATGTACATAGCACAATAGTATTGCAATGAAATTTTGTACATTGTAGATTGTAACTCATGAATTTAAAACAAATAGACTGTTATATTTCATTTTTAGAAAAACAAAATGTTACTGTTTAGGACTCTTCTGTTCTAATTTTGCAATCTGAATCTGACGTGAACTCCTGTAGAACATACTGTAATTGTTGTTATTTTACATTTGGCCTGTTAAACACCTTGTTTCTTTTTAATGTATAGCATAGTCATTTGCAGCAATTGACGTTTAATTGAACAGTGATGTTTTTCACTCATAGGAATGACTTGGCTGTTTTTATTGTTCTTTGGATTTCTTTCATCATTATGTTAATGTTATAGTTTTCGAACCCTGGTTCCTTGGACCTCTTGAGGTCTGTTTTAATGTTTTAAGTTTAACAGGTGTGTTTTTAATAATGATAGGCATTATTCAGATCAGTTTCATGTTTTGTTTACATTGGGGTTTCTTATTCAAGGGGATTTTCCTGAAGTGGGGTTAACCGTTCATAAAAAGGTTGAAATTTCCCTGATTTAGGTGTTTTAAACTAAACTTTAAACTAAACAATATACATTTAGTATTACTACAGTATGAATGCTTCAGTTGTAGTGTATTGAAATTACCAGGAGCGTGTCTAAAAGACATTTATACAAGAGTACCAGGGATGGTCTTGGGCTGACAAATAGATAGATACTTTATTGATTTAGATACACGCGTTTAAGAAAATGCTTTGCAACTACAGAACCCAGATTATGTGTTCTTATATAAAAAAACAACATTTTACTTAAAACAGGAGGTGGATAGATGTTTTATAAATGAATCCCTAGGCAATGAAAAGCTTTCAGATGTACTTTACACCAGGTTAATGCCAAGGTTAGTCAAATATTGCACATTCCCATGCAGTGCTGGTGGGGTTTTTGGTATCATGAGCTCTTTAATTATGCTACTGAATTATTAGCTAAGCAAAGATCTGGTGTTAAACTCCTGTGGATGAAGGAACTGGATGGTGGATTATCGCACTGCAAACTGGGGTGAGTTGTAATGAGAGGACTGTGTGAGAGTAAAACTGCTGGTTTGTTTTACAGGCAAGGCCTACCCTCCCGAGTTTTACTACGACACCTACAACCCACTCTGGCAAAACCGACCTCGCGTGTACGCCTACAAACTCCAGTGGACTCAGATGAACCCTAATGCAGTGGACCGCATCATTGCCTATCGTCTGGGAATCAGGCAGGTGAGAGAGGTGAACCACATTTCAATACCAACTTTCTTCAAAATCCTATGTTTTTTTTTGCACAAGTGACCTCAAAGTTGTAGTTTAATTTTCGCATGATCCGAAAGCTATTTTTCACATTTGCAATGTGTGTATGTGAAGGCTGTATTTCACCATTACAGGAACCATCAGAAACCATTTACTCTCTGAAGTATTTTCCTTCATTAAAAAAAACTGTTTCTTCAAGTTGTGGGTTACCCTTTTATTTTCCCCACTGATTTAAGGTTTTAGCAACAAGAAAAAGGCAATTACTGTTTAATGTTTTGCATAAACGTATTCTTAATACTTTTATTACTATTGGCATCTTTGTAATTTGCAGATCAGTTCACGTTTGATCATTTTGCTGTAGGTCTATCATTTGAATGGAGGTCAGATTCGAATACTTTAAGATTCAACTACGATTGTGGCCTTCTGGAGTGGCCTTTTTCTGTAGCTTAGTTTTGTGCTGAAAAAGTACAAAACCATTCAGATGTCTTGGCTGTGGCTTTAATCCTTTTCCCTGCGTAGACAACCTTTTGACATTACCACAGAGGAAAGCTAACAAATGGCATCTGACATTTTTGACAGGCATGGCTGTGTCTCTGTGGAAGATGCCCGGAGGAAGTTAGACTCAATCCTCTTTAGTGTGCTTGTTCGTACCCCCCTGAGAGTACAGTTTCACTGATAATGAGCAGGACTTGCTCTCTTGTTCCAGCTGTCACCATAATCTTTTCCTGACTGGCCAGCTTTAGGGACAGTTTCTCTGTGAAGTTCTTTATATTGCCCTTATCCAAAATATAAATTATTTCAGACTTTGTTCTTGTTTTTACTAAAATACTCAAAGTGAATTGTTAGGTGGCTTGTGTGTGTGTGTGTGTTTTAAGAGTGTTCTTCATTTTCATGCTGGCAATTTACATTAGATGAATGAGAATATACCAATAGGCTGAAGATACCTCAACTGTGAAGCAGTTTACTTACAAAGTCCTGTGAATTCCTTGAGATGAAAGAGTATTGCAATTTAAATGCAGGGTACTACAAAATAAAAAATAAGCAGTTAAGTTTAATTTTAATCTTGTTTAAAACAACAATCGTTGTTAACTAAATTGTTGTTTGTCCTGCCTTTTTCTTCCCATCAGTGCACAGTATATAGATGTCACACTTCTCTCAACAAAGATTGATTGTTTTTGTTGGCAGTGAAATAGAGTTAATAGGACTTATACCAGAAGTACAGCCTTTTTATTAAGACAGTTGACAAAAAGCCAAACCTTGCATAAAATGAGGACAAAAACCGTTGTGATTTGTCCTTATTCTCTCTGAGAACATTGTATTGAAAATCCAACTTGTTCAACAAGCTGAATTGTACTTTGACTGATATGGTCTTTTGTAGGAGCACAATAAAGGATATATTTAGTTCACAAAAAATCCCTTAAAAAGCAAGCAACAATGTTTTACAAATTAACTGCTCTATTGTATTATATCCATTTAATGTGATATTGGATTGCTTTCATTCATTCTGGATTTTTCCTGATTTTCAGATTTCTTTTGTGACAGTTTACTGTAGTTCATTTTTGCTTTCTTATAACTCTGGCCTTGAACCAGCCCAGATCAGATCTTTTTCTTCTGTCAAAACAGGAGGCATAATTCTTTGGCAAGCACTGTGTCAGTGTCAGCATTTCTTCGTGCCTACAGTATCTATAGCAGCCCTGTCACTTACAGCATTGCCTGGTGCGCTGTGTTTGAGTAATTGAGGTGTGGTTATGGGCACGTTAAAAAAAAGAAACTTCTGATCACTTGGTCTGAAGTTGTTTGCCCCAAAGAAAGATCATCCTGATTGTAACAGCTTGAGCTCTCAGGCTGTAACATTCTCCAATGCTTGTTTTTCTAGATGAGAGGTAATCCTTACTGGGTGGGACAGTGGCGCAGCGGTTAGCATTGATGCCTTGTAGGACTGGGGCCCTGGGGTGCTGTCTGTGTTCTCCTTGTGATAGTTTCAGTTTCCTTCGGGTGCTCTGGTTCCCACCCACAGTCCCAAGACATACTGGTTCTGTAGGTTGATTGGCTTCTAGAAATATTGGCCCTGGTGTGTGTGTTTCTGCCTTGTGATGGACTGGTGCCCTTCAAGGGCCCTTCAACCCATTTCTTGCCAGGACAGGCTTTGGCTCTTCCGCAACCAGTATTGGATAGAGGATAGTAAATGGATCAATGAATTAATCTTTACCATACTCAACCTTGCAATTTGAGAGGAGGAATTTCCGTCTGAATGCCACCAAATTTATGATAAAACCTCACACAGCTAAAGTGGTAAATATTGTGTATGTGTGAAAGTAAATGCATGCAGATACAGTATACAGTATACAGTATATACAGTATTTGCTTTTTACATCTTAACTTGATAAGTAGAAAACGCAGAACAGGCACTTTAGAGTTGATGGTGTTCAATTGTCCATTCTTCTTTCATTTCTTTTGTACTGTATATTGTCTTGCGCAGCCATATTGCTCAGTTATTTTGCTATATCAAAGTGTTGTGTCATAATCAAGATCCAACTCCCGAGATGTTCTCTCCCCCTGGAGACACTTCAATGGCCAAGGGCTTTGCCAGCGGTGTGTGGAAATATGGAAATTTCCGTAGGTAAAATTAATTAACTTCATTAGTTCTAACTCCCTTTGTTTCCTAGTCAAATCACCCTAACATCCAGCATAATATGAGAGCACAACAAATACCAAAATAACATTAGATGTGCTGATAAATGCTTATTTAGAAGTGACAAGGTACATTGAACACACTGAATTCAGTCAGCCAGCTCAAATGTAGAATTGAATCGGACAACTGCTGCATGTCTTAAATTAATATGAACTGCATTTCTCAGAACTTTGTGAAGGCAAAACCCTGAAACAAGCTGTAGTAAGAAAAAAGTTAAAATATTTTAGCACTTCTGCATGCATGTAACTGTGTCTCAAACCCTGATTTAATCTCCTTAAGTAAATGTCATGTAAAATTGTCAGAGAGAAATTGAAGTCAATATTATCTGCATGATACATAAGTATATAATGGTATGAAAGACACAAGTAAGGAATTATTTTTCTTAGAAAGATAATTAAACCTTGTAAATATGCAATCCACATCTTATTATTACTTGTGTTTCCCCCCTGTGTCTTACTCCATACCTTCTAATAACTTTTGGAGAAACCACAGGAGAGCTCCGTGTCTCTGTGTCTACTTAATAAGAATCTGTAGAATTTGTCTGTAGAAAGAGTTTAGTATTGAAGTATCTGATAACTGTTTCTTTGTATTGCTGTGTTGCATTCTGTGGTCACATATGTAAGAATGGCAGAGCATAGTCCTGCTTTCAAGAAAGAAAGTGTGAAGAAGATCACTCAAAATCAAAAGACACCTTATACTGATAAAACACAGTTGGGGAAGGTGGGAAAACGCCTTCATGCTACCTTAATCAATGTCTTTTGTCTGTTATGATATTTGAGCTGATTCCTTAACTTTGTGTTAGTCATGTTCTTTAAGAGACCTAATGTTCCGGAGAGGCAAACCCCTTTCCACCTGCTTTGTTTAGTACAAACCATTGTAGCCCTGCTGTAGCAGGGGATCTTGTTCTGACTGCACTCCCTAAAAGCCTACTGCATGACATCACCAGCAGCTTTTGGCAATTTAGCTGGGTCCGGTGACTCTGTAAACCATGTATAACATGGCAGCCCACACTATTGTTGGACTAGTCAGATAAAAGCATTGCTTCTGGGGAGTGTAGTGTGAGCATGATCTGCCAACTTCCCCTTGTCCTACTGCAATACCACACCATCCACTGAGCTGAAATAGCACAGGGCATTCACTAAGGCAGCCAGGGTCGCATACCAGAGGACTTGGTATCTGTTGTTACTATGCAAGAGAGAAACCACCGAAAGACAGTCATTTGAAAATCAGTCTCCTGATTGTCCCGATTGTACCTTATGGTGATTTACTGAGGATAAATTTAAAAATATACAGGTAGGTTGTTCTCATTTAGACCTCTGCCTGGTACGCCCCGGTGTTTTTTATGTTAAGCCTCATGTTAAAAGTAACAATACCTGTTCTTACTAAAATTAAATTCTGACTCTTTTCATTGCCAATCCTTTTCTTCAAAGGTAACAATAAAAATGTTTTAGTCCCCCAAGCCTTTTCTCTTAATGAAATGGTTTGTGTCTGAGGAAAAAAAAATGCATGAAGTGGGCTTCTTTTAGCAGTCCTCAACTGGCAATCACCAGAATAATTCTAAACAGAGTATGCAATTGATTGCAATCATCATGCATTCATATTTCCATGTGTTTGATTCTGCTTTGCTTTCTCTCTGTAGTCAGTCCGCTTTCAGTCAGGGTCTTACCCATTTTGAAATGACAACCTTCCCCAGTTTTGCTTAACAGAAGGCCTCATTGGTTAAGCTGTCAGCAGCCATATGGTTTGATTTATATGTTGCCAGGCTTCTGAATGCTGGTGGCCACCCATTGAAGCTGAAAGTCATTGATAAAGGTAAAAGGCTGCAGTGTTTTTTATGAGCGTTTATCATTTTATCTTTTTATTTCAAATGGAATAATTAATTACACTTGAGTTTTGACCTCTTGCTGGTCATCATTACGAGAAAATCATTTTTAGAAAACACAATGAATTCTGTACCATGACAACATCCTTATAGTAAAGTGAGGCAGAGCCACTGGCAATTTGCAGCACAGTGACTGCCAGTAAGCTGCAGTGAGCCCTGCTGTGCTGAAAATGAGCTTGAGTACTATTTTTCTCATTGTGCTTTTGGGCTAAATGAATATCCAGAGACTTGAACTCTGTGCCTCAACAAGAGAGTACTTTCAGCAGCCACATAGTTTTTGTGCAGATTTTTTTCTCATTATATTGGAAAGAAAATAGAAGACTTGTCGATGGAGAAGCATGCCAAGTTGCCTCTAAGGTATACATCACACAAATGTCATTTGCATAATATTAGTTTCTTACTTGTTTA